GCAGGTGGTCGGCGGATCGGCCGTCACGCACAGGATTTCCCCCCCCCCCTCCCCCCACGGGGCCCCGCTACCGACTCCATCGTCGTGCGCTCGGAGCCTCGGGCATCACCGACACCTTCCCGCACTCGTGGTCCTTCTCGTCGCTTCCGCCCTCGGGGTCCGTTTGGCGTTCAGCCTCTCGTTGAGCGGTCGGGGGCTACACCGGCACCATGTTCAGATCGGGCAGGCTGGCGGGGGAAGACATGATCACCATATGCGCGCTATGAGCTTGCGTGCGTGCGTGCGTGCGTGCGTGCGTGTGCTTGTGTGCGTGTGTGCGTGTGTGCGTGTGTGTGTGTGGGTGTGAATGTGTGCGGGTGTGCGTGTGTGTCTATGCGCTGTGCCAGCCGTTTCGGTGGCCTCGGCCGCTCACGCGGGCGCTCTCCGACTGACTATGAAGCGTCGTGGTGCGAGGCAAAAGTGTCTGTGGGTGCGTGTGTGTATGTGTGTGCGTGTGTGTGTATGTATGTGTCTGTGTGTGTGGTGTGTGTGTGTGTGTGTGTGTGTGTTTGTGTGTGTGTTTGCGTGTGAAAGGGCGTGTTCTGCCGCCGCTGCTGGCAGAAAACCAGGGGGGAGGGTCACTGCGGGTTTCCAACCCGCCCCCCCCCTCAAAAACCGTGGGGGGGTCATTATCGGTCCGAACCCCCCCGGGTCCATCATGAAAAGAGGGGGGGTCCCGGTTCGAACCTTCCCCCCCCCCCCCCTCCTCGCCGCTGGCAAACGATTCCCGCCCGCTCCCCTCGGGACAGTGAGACAGTGGTGGGGACATTGGAACAGTGGTGGGGACGGTGGTGTTGGGGACAGTAGTGTGGGGACAATGAGACAGTGGTGGGGACAGTGGGGACAGCGGGACAGTGGTGGGGACGGTGGTGGTGGGGAGAAGGGGACAGTGGGACAGTGGTGGGGACAGTGGGGACAGCGGGACAGTGGTGGGCTAGGTAGTGGTGGGGACAATGGTGGGGGCGGTGGTGCGGACGATGGTGGGACAATGGGACAGTGGCACAGTGGGGAGAGTGGTCGGGACAGTGGGGACAGTGGGGCAGTGGTGGGGACAGTCGGGACAGTGGGACAGCACAGTGGGACAGCGGTGGGGACAGTGGGGACAGTGGGGACAGTGGTGGGGACAGTGGGGACAGTGGGACGGTGGTGGGGACACTGGGGACAATGGGGAGAGTGGGACCTTGGTGGGGACAGTGGTGACGAAATGGGGAGCAGTGAGACGGGACAGTGGGGACGGTGGGGCAGTGGTGGGGACGGTGGTGGTGGGGACAGTGGTGAGGGCGGTGGTGAGGACGGTGTTGGGACAATGGGACAGTGGTACAGTGGGGACAGTGGTGGGGACAGTGGGGGCTGAGACAGTGGTTGGGACAGTGGGACAGGTCAGTGGGACAGCGGCGGGGACAGTGCGAGCTGGGACAGTGGTGGGGAAAGTGGGGACAGTGTGACAGTGGTGGGGAGAGTGAGGACAGTGGGGAGTATGGGACCGTGGTGGGGACAGTGGTGGGGACATTGGGGAACGTGAGACGCTGGTGGGGGCACTGGTGGGGACAATGGTGGGAACAGTGGGGACAGTGGGACAGTGGCGGGGACGGTGGTGGTGGGGACAGTGAACAGAGGTGAGGGCGGTGGTGAGAACGGTGGTGGGGGCCCGGGAGTCGTTTGCCAGCGGCGATGGGGGAGGGGGGGGGGGGTCGAACCGGTAATGACCCCCCCCCCTCCGGTTTTCTGGAGGGGGGGGGAAGGAGGTTCGAACTGGTAGTGGTTCCCCCAGGTTTTCCCGAGGAGGTTAGGGGGGGGGTTGCAGGGGGAAGGAAGGAGGGTGGTGGGGGGTTCGATCAAGGGGGGCGGGATTCGGGGGGGGGATCACGGGTTCCACAGGAACAGGGGGAGCATTCTCCACAGTATATATGTGTATGTATGTATATATGTATGTATATATATACATATGTATATATATATATATGTATGTATGTATGTAGGTAGGTAGGCAGGCAGGCAGGCAGGCAGGTAGGTAGGTAGCTATGTGTGTATGTATGTATGTATGTATGTATGTATGTATGTATGTATCTATGTGTGTATGGATGGATGGATGGATGGATGGATGGATGGATGGATGGATGCATGCATGCATGCATGCATGTATGTATGTATGTATGTGTGTGTATGTATGTATGTATGTATGTATGTATGTATGTATGTATGTATGTATGTATGTATGTATGTATGTATGTATGTATGTATGTACGCATGTATGCATGTATGCATGTATGCATGTATGTATGCATGTGTGTATGTGTGTGCATGCATGCGTGTATGTCTGTCTGTCTATCTGTCTGTCTGTCTGTCTGTATGTATGTATGCATGTATGTATGTATGTATATAGGTGTGTATGTATGTATGTATGCATGCATGCATGCATGCATGCATGTATGTATGTATGTATGTATGTTTGTATGTACGTATGTATGTGTCTATGTGTGTATGTATGTATGTATGTATGTATGTATGTATGTATGAATGTATGTATGTATGTATGTATGTATGTATGTATGTATGCAGGTATGTATGTATGTATGTATGTATGTATGTATGTGTGTATGTATGTATGGTTGTATGTATGCATGCATGCATGCATGTATGTATGCATGTATGTACGTACGTATGTATGCATGTATGCATGTATGCATGTATGCATGTATGCATGTATGCATGTATGCATGTATGCATGTATGTATGTATGTATGTATGTATGGATGTGTGTGTATGTATGTATGTATGTATGTATGTATGTATGTATGTATGTATGTTTGTATGTATGTATGTATGTATGTATGTATGTATGTATGTATGTATGTATGTATGTATGTATGTATGTATGTATGTATGTATGTATGTATGTATGTATGTATGTATGTATGTATGTATGTATGTATGTATGTATGTATGTATGTATGTATG